CAGTGCACTCCTGACTCCCACCTCTCCTGGATGAAAAATCTTTCCTCAAAACCCTCTAAATTTCCTGCCTTTCATTTTAAAATTTTGCACCCTTTTTACTGACCAAAAAAAAACCCCAAAAAGCTGCAGAGGTTGGAAATCAAAAACAAAATCAGAAATTTTTGGAAAATCTCATCAAGTCTGGCAGCATATGTGGAGAAACTCAGCACAGATCTCCACGCTCCTCAATCTTATACATCTCAATCAGTCCCCTTTTAGCCTTGTCAGTTCTAAAGAAAACAACTTGAGCTTATCCAGTCTCTCTTTAAAGCTAAGCTGCTGCATCCCAGGCAATATCCTGGTGAATTTCATTTGCAACCCCTCCAGTGCAATCACATCACATCCATAGTGCAGTGACTAAAACACAGACCCTGAACTCCAGCTGTGGCCTAATCAACATTATGTATAGTTCCAACATTACTCCCTGCTCTTATAATCTATGCCTTGAATGATAAAGGTAAATTTCCCAAATGAATTCCAAACTACCATATTACCTGTCCAGCTGCCGTCAGGGATCTATGGACAAGCACCCCCAAGATCCCTCTGTTCCTTCGAGTTTCCTAGTGTCCTGCCATTCATTGAGTACTGTCTTGTCTTGTTACTTCTAAAGTGTATCACCGCATAGTTATCAGGATTATATCACCTGCTACTCATCTCTCCACCTGACCAATCCATCAAAAATCCTGCACACTTTGTCTCACCGACAAATATATTAATCATCAGCCCCGTGCAATGAGGGACCTAGCACAGATCCTTGTGGTATGCCACTGGACACCAGCCTCCAGTCACTTGAACAGCTTTCTACCACCTCCCTCTGTCTCCTACCACCTGCTCAATTTTGGATCCAACTTTCCAAGGTACCCTGGATCCCACATGCTTTTACCTTCTTTATCATAATCTGCCATGTAGGACATTGTCAAAGGCTTTGCTGAAACCCATACAAATGATGTAAACTTCACTACCCTCACCTACACACCTGAGCGTCTCTGTGAAAAATTTAATCAAACTTATGACAAACTTCTCTGACAAAGCTATGCTGAATATCAGTGATCAAACCTTGCCACGACAAGTGGAGGTTAATTCTTAATGTTTTAACGAAGATCTGTAGCTTGGGTTGCAGTTGGAGTTGTTTGTTGGTTCACCGAGTTGACTGGATTTCATGTAAATGTTTCATCTTCCTTCTAGGTGACATCGTCAGTGCTGTGTAGCCTCCACTGAAGTGCTGTTATTCTGTCCTGCTCTGAATATGGTTTGGTCTGTCATGCTGGGCAGTCTTGTTTCCGGTTTTGTACCATAATGATATGTAGATGTGGTTTATTTTGACATGTTTGTTTAGGCCTCCAAGAATTGTCTTGCTTGTCCTAGTAACTTTGTCCCAGTTAAATTGATGTCCTTCTATGTCAGAGTGTATTGAAATGAGGGAGAGTTGGTTGTGCTGTTTTGCTGCGAGTATTCAGGTGGTGGGTTTCCTGCCAATCTGTCCTATGTAGTGTTTCTCGCAGTTGCTGCTCATTGAGGGTATGGGGTCTTTCATCTATGAGTGTAACTGGCAAAGTGTGGCTGTTGATTTGTGTGCTGTCCTTATTCCAAGAGGTCATAGGAGTCTTGCAGTCAGTTCTGATATGTTTCTAATATAGGGTAGAGTGGCCAGTGTGTTGGGGTGCACAGTATCTTCTTGGTGTTGTTTGTTTGCCAGGCATCAGTGGACGAATCTGTTAGGAAAACCATTGTTTGCAAAGACTCTGTCTAGGTGTTCCTCTTTATTTTTGCGCAGCTCCAGAGTGTTGCAGTGAATTATCACTCGTTAAATTAAGAGTCTTGACACCGCTCTGTTTGTCGCGTAGGGGTGGTTACTGTTGTAATTCAGGATTTGGTCTGTGTGTGTAGTCTTTCTGTATATGCTGGTGAGGAATTCATCACTGTTCATTTAATCCATCATTAGGTCCAGAAATGGGAGTTGATTGTTTTGTCTATTTCCCTGGTGAATTTGATCCCGGTGAATATGCTGGTGGTGTGTTTCTTCTAACTTTGCTTGTTTAATGATCATGAAGATATCGCCCAAGTATCTAATCCATAGTTTAGGCTGGATCTGGGGGAGGGCTGTGCATTTCAGTCTTTGCATAACAGCTTCTATTATGAGCCCCGAGATGGATGAACCCATGGGTGTTCCATTAATTTGTTCATATAACCGGCTGTTGAAAACAAAGTGTGTGGTAAGGCATAAATCTAGTAATTTTAGCATGTTGTTCTTGCTGATGGTTTCATTGGAGGTTTGTGTTTTCAGATTGTCCAGTAATGTGGTCAGAGTCTCCTTTGCTAGTGTCATGTCAATAGAGGTGAATAGTGCCCTAATGTCGAAGGATAACATCATTTCCTCCTTGTTCATTTTTATGTTCCTGATGTTGTCCAGGTATTCTTGTGCTGAATGTACGTTGGTGAGGTGTTTTAGTCTCTGTTGTAACTCCTTGGCTAGTCTGCGTGTCGGTTTGTATGGCAGAGAAACTATGGGTCTGAGGGGGATGTCAGTTTGTGTACTTTGGGTAGTCCGTAGAATCGGGCGGTGTTTGATCCATCGAGTTTCATTTTTAGGAAATCTGTTCTTGTTACTTGGCCTGCCTGTTGTAATTTCTTTAGTGTATAGGTGATTCTGTTATCTAACTGCGGTGTGGGGTCTGACTCCCTCTGTTGGTAAATACTGGCATCTGCAAGTAGTTTTGTGTATTTTCAATATAGTCCAATTTGTCCATTATAACTGTTAAGCAGCCTTTGTCTGCTGGTAAGATTATGATGTTCCTGTCCTTCTTTAGGCCTTTGAGGGCATTTATTTCTGATGAGTTGAGTGTGTTTGCCTGGATTCTCCTGTTCAGTGTAGGGACTATGGTTTGACGGATGGCTAGTTGTGTTTCGTCCATGGGTCCATTAGATTTCAGTGTAGCCTCGAGCATAGCCAGGAAGTTAGTTTTATTGGCGTCCTTATAATTATAGTTAAATCACCGCATTAGGACAGTTTTCTCGGTGTCTGTCTGATAAATTTCTTATCCATGGTTTGTTCTTGTCATTTCTATGCATCAGTTTCATCAGTTTTTCCTGTAGTGTGAGCCTCCCTTGGTTCTGGTCTGTTTTGTTTAGCCCTGATGGCGAGAGTTGTGGTCCATTGTTGGTTGGTTGAGTTCAAGAATAGAGATTTTTGGCATAAAATTTCTCGTTCATATTTGTGGAGGAGGTTATGGGCGTCCATTATCATAACTCATGGCATACTGCTGCTGTTTTGTTCAGCTGTTTTTCTTGCTTTTGGATTGTTGGGGGTTAGGGGCATTTGAATTTGACGCTGCGAGGTAGTATCTGGTTTCTGAGGCATCTTAGTAGAAAATGGAGTTGCTTTTGGGTAGCGCTCAGCCAGTTGGCCTAGGTTTCCCATTTTCGGGCTTGTTTGAGCATGTTTCACCCGCAGGTTTTTAAGGTTTTAATGAAGGTCTGTAGCTCAGGTTGTGCTTGGAGTCATTGGTTGGTTCACCTAGCTGACTAGTTTTCATGCAAACATTTCGTCTCCCTTCTAGGTGACATCGTCAGTACTGTGTAGCCTCCATTGAAGTGTTGAAGCATTGAAGCCTCCCATGTCCCAGCCCCCTACCCCACACACCAGGCCTTGCTACCACATAGCCTGCCATTACACACCCCCTGTTGTTAGTCACTAACAGTTCCCATTAACAACTATTCACCCTCCCAGCCTGATCGTTAGCAACTCCTTTGTCTGTCCAACTGTCTTTCTCTCTCTTTGGGCTCTATCCTATCATTTACTCCCTACCCCACCCACCTCCCTATTTTCTGCATATAAACTGACGTTTTCCCAGCCACCATCAGTTCTGAGGAAGGGTCACTGGACCCGAAACGTTAACTCTGTTTTTTCCTTCACAGATGCTGCCAGACCTGCTGAGCTTTTCCATCAACTTCTGTTTTTGTTCCTATGTCAATACTCTGTTCAAACGAGTGGTAACTCATTGCAACACCCCGGAGCTACTGACAATGTCACCCAGAAAGGGGACGAGAAGTTTGCATGAAAATTAATCAGCTTGGCGAACCAACCAATGACTCCATCAATTCTTACTTTCTGAATTTTGTCCAATAGCTTCCCTACCACTGACGTGAGATTCATGTCCCTGGTTTATCTCTGCTACCCTTCTTTTAAAGTGAAACCACATTAGCTGTCTCCTTTGTGGCAAGAGAGAAATCAAAAAATTTGACTCACAGCCCCTGTAACTTCCTCCCTAGTCCCCCACAGCAATGTGAGATACAACTCACAGGATACTGGAAATTTGTCCACTTTTAAACCAAACCCACCAATACCTCCTCACTCCCTATGTGAAACTGCTCAAGAACCTCACAGTCCTTCTTTCCGAATTGTGTACCTACACCTTACCATAAAAGGACTACTCCCCAGCTGAATGTGTAAAATTATACAGTCAGTCATCCATTTACTAAAGGTAAAGGAGCGTGTTCTTTCAGATATTTTACCTGTGCAAAACCATCTGTTCAGGCTTTGCTCCTATTATTAGCTTCAGCTTTAAAAGTTTCAAGGATTTGATACCAGTGACACATTCTTAGGGTGAGAAAGGGTTTGAGTGTTCACTATGGGGGAAAACGGTCACTTGTTTCCACACTTGCTCAGACTCCAGTCTCTTCACATCTGAAATTGGGCCTTTTTTTCCTCACTGCTGCTCGTCACATCCAGCTAGAACTGCGGCATAGATCCCATGCACTTGATTGCTGTATGCATTGACTTAATCTATTTATATCTATGGCTCACATTGTAATCGGATCATTAAAAAAAATTACTTTGTGGTCAACAAGAGAACTTTGCAACAGAGACAGAGTCCTACGTCCAGTGAAGGGATAAGTACGCAAGCGCATTATCAGCCTCTCACCACGTATGCGCAATGCCTTTACTGGCTCATGCGCAGTATCAGACACTAATCGGGGCATGCGCATTCTAAGTCTTGGGAGAGTCGGTTGAACGTATCGGAGTAGCTTCGAGAGCAGCAAAAAACTAGAGACTGCGGGTGAGTGAAGCCGACTGATAATAAAGATTTCTTCATAAGCAGCCAGTATAGGTCTCAAACGGCAAATATGAGATTCACGATGCTGTGTTTACGCCGCTTTGACCGCCGGGTGCCTTTTTCCCGGCGGCGGGCCCACGTTTAGAACCGCCATATTTGTAGGGGGTCAACGTGCAAATGGGCGCTCGGGAGTGAGCCATATTTATAGAGGGCAACGTCCGACAGGGAAAGGTGCTGCAGTTTCTGTGCAGATGGTACACGCTGTAAAGATGGTGGCTACCTCCTGATTCCCCTTGATGTCTGGCTCCGCAGAACTCAATGACATTCAACAGTTTGAAGTACTGTTGGAATGTAGCAACAAGGGGAATAACTCTCAATCCACATTTTGAATGACAACAGATTATCAGGGATATGCAGGAATGCAGAATCATAGAATCCCTTACAGTGTGGCAGCAGACCATTCGGTCCATCGAGTCCACATCAACCCATCAAAGAGCATCCCATCCAGACCAATGGCCCTACCCTACCCCACCCCAGTAACCCTACATTTCCCATGGCTAGTCCACCTAGCCTGCACATCTTTGGATTGCAGGAGGAAACTGGAGCACAAGGAGGAAACCTAGGCAGACATGGCAAGAATGTGCAAACTCCACATAGGCAGCCACCTAGAGCTGAAATCGAGCCTGGGGTGCCTGGCACTGTGAGACATCAGACTTTAAGTTAAAATCAGGTCAAACATGATTTTATTAAATGGCTGAGCAGGATCAAAGGGCCAGGTGCCCTGCTCGTGTTCCGTGTTAGTATGTGCATAATTCGGCTCTTAATCCATGTTTGAACTAAGGCTGTGATGAGATGAGAAGCCTATGCACTTGGATGCAAATATTAAACGTCAGTACTGTCATTTGCAATAAAGAATTGCATGCCAGAAAATACAGATTCCTCTGAATCATTTATATAACTATTTTGGATAAAGAGACTGAAAATATGGCACTTAAATGACACAAAGATAAGGTACAAAGAGGACTATGGAGGCTACAAAGTGATATAGATTGGCTAAATGAGTGGAATTTTGGAATATTATAACTAATGCATCCGTTATCTCTGCTGCCACGTCCTTTAATACCCTAGAGCACATGCCATTAGGCCCGGGGGATTTACCTGCCTTTAATCTCATCAGTTTACTTAATACCTTATCCCTGGATATAATCATTTCACTAAGTTCTTCCATAGTAACTGAATTTTTTAGGAAGAAATCATCTTCTGATGTGAAACAGAGACAAAATATTGATTTAGTACCACTGCTATTTCCAAGTTTTCCATTATTACCTCGTCATTTTTGAGTCGACATTTGCTTTCACAAATCTCTTCCCTTTTATATATACTTATTGAAGCTTTTGGTATCAGTCCTTATGCTTTCTGTTAGTTTCCTTTTCGTACTTCATCTAAGCTCTTTTGATTTTGTTTATAGTAACCCTTTGCTGACGTTATGGTTACAGAAGCTGAGCATATCAGTGCACAACATGTGACTAAAGTATTTGTCAGTATCGTTGGCTAGAAAGATTGAGAGGGTGATCCATCTCAATCTCTGGCTGATATTCTCAGCGTCCCAGGTACCAGACTTCATTCTGGTTTTCTTTCTTTTCCTTACCCCGACACTACTGCTTCAGAGCAGTAGTGCTTATTTGTCCCCACAGCACCCGTGTTGTGTGTGTGTGTGGGTGCAGCGACTCAGTGAAGACACCATGTGTAAAAGGCTTTATTCAATAGTTCCACTACCAGGAAAACACTCATGTGGCCAGGGAGCCAGTAACAAGCAAAGCCCAATAAGGGCAGTGCTTATGTGAAAAACAAAGTGAACGGGAATAGGTAGAAAATAAATCAAAATAGGATTGTAGTGGAAATAAAGCACTCCACCGTGCCCACCTCTCTCTAAAGGCATTGAGAGCATTGGTGGACGCTGCGTGCTCCCTCTCCAAGGACACCCAGGCTTGAACATAGCCGCGGAACAGGGTCAGGCAGTCGGTTGAAATGACCCCCTCCATGGCCCACTGCCTGTACCTGTTTATAGCCAGCCTGGCCAGGCCCAGGAGCAGATCCTCTTAGCAGATCCCCCCGACCTGCCGGCACCCCTCTGCACCAAGTGCCCGAAGACCAGGAGCGTAGGGCTGAAGCGTAACCAAAAACAGAGCAAAAGGTTCTTTAGGTAACTAAAAAAGGAGTGCAAACACCCACAACCAATATACACATGATCCACAGACCCCACAGCGCTGCAAAACAAGCAGTTGGGCTGAAAGAGGTACCAGTCTTCATGTAGATTGAATCGAATTACATGGTATCAAGAAATCATTACACATGAGTGTTTTCCTGGTGGTGGAACTATTGAATAAAGCCTTTTACACATGGTGTCTTCACTGAGTCGCTGCACTAGAGACTGCAAAGGCTATGGACTCGAAAAAAACTCCAACAATCCAGCAATGAAAATCAGTATTAATCATGTCCTGAATCATTCTGTTCCAGAAAGCTGCAGCCCTGCTATGGGAAGGATGTTATTAAATTTTAGAGGGTGCAGAAAAGATTTACAAAGATGTTACTATGTCTGGAGGGTTTGCGTTATAAGGAGAGGCTGGATAAGCTGGGACTTCTTTCATTCGAGCGGAGGAGGTTGACCTTAGAGGTTTATAAAATCGTAAGGGGCATATATGGGGGAATAGCAAAGGTTTTTTCCTGCGGGTAGGGGAGTTCAAAGCTAGAGGGCATAATTTTAAGGTAAAAAGAGAAAGATTCAAAAGGGACCCGAGGTGCAGCTTTTTCACACAGAGGGTGTTTCATATGTGGAATGAACTGCCAGAGGAAGTGGTAGATGCAGGTACAGTCACATTGTTTAAAAGGCATGTGGATGGGTATATGAACAGGAAGGATTTAGAGGGATATGGGCCAAACTCAGGCAAATGGGACTAGCTTAGTTTGAGAAACTTAGTCGTTGTGGACAAGTTGGACTGAAGGGTCTGATTCCATGCTGTATGACTCTATCACCCTATTATTAACACAAGCATCTGCCCTGCAATGTTGGACATTACTCAGATCCTGTCCATACAAAGTGAGAGAAATTCAATTTGGGTAATTAACACCTTGCCTAAATTATTTTTAATCAATCTGTTTTGGTGTCTTATGATATAACTCTGTGGCAGTAAGGACTTGAACTCAAGCCTTCCTGGCCCAAAGGTAGAGTCATTATCAATGACCTCAAGACCCTTTCCTCGCGGTGTACTCTGAATTATCAATAAAGTGATATAATTTATTAGACTTTGAGGCTGTAAAGTGCCTAAGTGGAACATCTGGTGTTGTTACTTGATGATCCATCTAACTCTCACACTAACATTTCTGTCCTGGGCCTGCTGTAGTATTCCAATTCAGCACAAGTTTGAGTAACTTTGCAGCCTTGAGATGTCAACATTAAATTCAGTACTTTCAGAAACTGACCGCATTATATGTTTTCACCATTGTTTTTATATTCTCTTCTCTTTCTCCCTGCCACCTCACTCATAGCTTTGTCTTATTTGTGTCTTATTTCCTTTGTTCTTAATTTAGAGGACACCCATTCCCTCCCTTTCATGTTTTAATTTACATTCATTTTACATCTCTTTTACATGAGAAGAAGGGTCATTGGACTTGAAGCTTTTTGTCTTCACAAATACTGCCAGACCTGTTGAGTTTCTCCAGCAATTTCTGATTTTGTTTGTACTACATCTCTTTTCTTTTCCTCCATCATTGACAAGCCTTTTGGCTTTTGCACTAGGCCTCTGCCTGTGTCAACAGTACACAAAAAAAAATTCCAATACTTTTCATTTCCAAAGAAGAATCTTATCAGACTCGTAATGTTAACTCTGTTTCTCTCTCCACAAAATGCTGCGAGACATACTGCGTTTCTCCAGCATTCTCAGTGTTCATTTCATCAAGGTGTTGCCTGAGCTGGAGCATTTCCACTATGAAGAGAGTCTAGGTAGGCTAGGAGTTGTTTTCCTTAAAGCAGAGAAAGCTAAAGGCAGACCTGATTGAAGTGAGCAAAGTTATAAGGATAGATGGCAAGAAAAAAATTCCTTAGTAGAGGATCAATAACTAAGAGCCTTAAGGTTAAGGGCAGGAGGTTTAATGAGAAAAAGATTTTCATCAGAGGGTGGTGGGTATCTGGAATTTGCCGTCTGAAAGGATGGTAAAGGTGGGAACCATTAGAACATTTAGAGTTCTTTAGATGGTATTTGAAATGCCATACCATATAAGGCTACGGGCCAAGTTTTGGAAAATGGGACAATAGTGGATAGGTGCTTGATGACTACACCAGCCATATAAATACAGTAGCTACAAGAGCAGATCAGAGGCCAGAATTTCCATTGCAAGTAAAACACTTCTGGTCTTCCCAAAGCCTGTTAAACCCTTTATAACCCTTTTATAAGACTTAAGTCTGGAGTATGGTGGAATACACCCCATTTGCCTGGAGAGCAGCTCCAGCAAAACTCAAGAAGCTCAACACCGTACAGAACAGGGCAACCCAACTGATTCGCGCCACATAATTGACACCACATCCATAAACATCCATTGCTTCCACCTTCAAAAGCAGCAATGTATACCATCTATAAGATGCACTGCTGAAATTCACCAAGGCTCCTTAGGTGGCAGTTTCCAAACTTACAACTACTTCTGTCTAGAAGCTCAAGGGCAGCAGGTTGACGGGAACACCCTGCAAACCACTAACCATCCTGACTTGGAAATATATTGCCTTTCCTTGTGTGCCACTGGGTCAAAATCTTGGAATTTACTGTCTAACATTGTGGGTCTACCTACAGCACATGGACACCAACAGTTCAAGACGGCAGCTCACCATCACCTTCTCCAGTGACGTTAAGAATGGGCAACAATGCTGACCTTGCCAGAATGTTTACATTCCATGAAAACATAAAAACTATTTGCTTTTGTATTTTTATAGGTTATCTCTCACTCTATTTATGTTTTAATTTCAGAGATATAAAAGAGGAGGATTTGCACTTGGCAAACTGAAACCAAGCATCACATCAGAATCTGACAGAGTTGCTTCATTTAATGTAACCTGATCCTCATCAGCTTTTCGACATGGAAAGAAAATGCTCCATTCACAGTGGAGAGAAACTTTTTTTTTTTTTTTTATTTAAAAAAATATACTTTATTCATAGAAAATACAAAAACAATAAACACACTTTCACCTACCCGGTCATCCAAGCCGTCCCGGATTACCCTGGGGGTACGTACACCAACTACAGGGAAAAAACAAAGGGAAGAAAAAGAAAAAACTCCGGTGGTCATCACTACCGTAGTCATAGTTGGCCCCCTGACCAGTTGGAGGAGGCGCCAGCTGGGCCCAGTTTCTGAACAGGGCCCTAATACGGTATGGCCGAGGGGTCTTACACGGTGGTCTTTCCCCACCGCGCCTTGGCAGCGGCTGCCCCAAGCTTTAGTGCATCCCTCAACACGTAGTCCTGAACCTTGGAGTGCGCCAGTCTGCAACACTCGGTCGGGGTCAGTTCTTTCAACTGGAAGACCAGCAAGTTGCGGGCAGACCAAAGAGCGTCTTTCACCGCATTGATGGTCCTCCAGGCCCAGTTGATGTTGGTCTCGGTGTGTGTCCCGGGAAACAGCCCGTAGAGCACGGAGTCCCGTGTCACGGAGCTGCATTCACAGTGGAGAGAAACTTTTTTTTTTATTTAAAAAAATATACTTTATTCATAGAAAATACAAAAAAATAAACACACTTTCACCTACCCGGTCATCCAAGCCGTCCCGGATTACCCTGGGGATACGTACACCAACTAAAGGGAAAAAACAAAGGTAAAAAAGGAAAAAAACTCCGGTGGTCATCACTACCGTAGTCATAGTTGGCCCCCTGACCAGTTGGAGGAGGCGCCAGCTGGGCCCAGTTCCTGCACAGGGCCCTAATACGGTACGGCCGAGGGGTCTTACACGGTGGTCTTTCCCCACCGCGCCTTGGCGGCGGCTGCCCCAAGCTTTAGTGCATCCCTCAACAC